TTATTTTAAGTTATTTTTAAAGGAGAATTAAAATAAAAAATGCACCAAATTTGGTTGTAATCCAAGAAAACATGAATAATTGAACTTTAAATTATGTGCTTTGGTTATTGGTTGAAAAGAAACCCCAAGATATTATATAGTTATTTCAGTAAACACATTATAATGGACTTATAAAATAAAATAGGAACCTAAAAGAACAGAAAAATGGAAATTTACCCAATTTACAAGCTGCTTTTTTTTTATTTTGATGAATTTGTTTAGATTTTCCTCTGAATAACACTTCCTTACCCACATTTTCGCAAAATATTCCTGTATTTTAGCAGAAAACTGACAAAACAAACGTGTAAAACTTGTTGAGTGAATTCAAAAGAAGAAAACTTTACAAATATTGGTCTGAATGCCTAAATTTAAGTGCTTTTGGAACTGATTGGAAAGCAAACTCCCAGTAAACCAATTAATCAGTAAATTTTGAGAATTGAAATGAAGTTTAATCGACTTGCAACAGTTGTCTGCTCACTCTGCTTTTGCTTTTCTACTAAACTGGAGTTCAACTAAAGCAGACAAACAAGCTGTTTATGCACAAGTGAATTCCCCCACATAGACCTCCCCTCCTTTGTGTCTACTGACCCAGACAGTTCATCAACATCCAGCAAATAAACGACCCGCTGAGACAGGTAAAAATCGGCATCATTAAGCCCTACGAACTGCTGTCTGCTTTGACTGACACTGGAAATGACTCACACACGCTTTAACACACGCACAGTCTCTTTGTTCTCGGGTGCCAAGCCCTCTGAAGTCAAACAACACTCAGAGATGGCTGCAGTCGGTGTCTGAATTCTCATGAAATCATCCGAAAACAGCTTGTTTCACTCAAGAGACGAGTTTTATCCCCGACCACACCTACGAGATGAAAGTGAACTCAACAGAAATGCACGCAAGGGTCGCTAAAGCAGTTTGAGGACAACGTTAAGGAAGCGCGGAGGTAGATCTGATATTAAAGGTGGGAGCGAACAGGGCAAAAGGTTAAAGGCTAAATCGGTTCAGTCAGAAGAGTTGGCACATGAGACGCTGAAAAGGTTGAGGGGCTTTGACTGGTCCCACGCCAGACGGAGCTTCGCAGGAACCGGCCTTCCTCTGAAAAGCAGCTGATATCTCCCCGGGGAAGAGTTGGGTTGCCTGTCGGCTCGACTGGTAGCTAGCCGTCTTTGTGGGACAGATTGGAGGCTGGTATTCCGGCTGTCACGATGCTGTCCGGGGTTGAAGAGGTGAAAGACGGAGAGGGTGGAGGAGGAATAGGGACACTTCAATAACAGCTTTCGACTTCCTGCGTCGGTAAATGTCAGGATTTTCAAGTTGAACCAACTTTCTCAAATGGAGCACCGTCCTGTCCTGCAATCCGTACACGGGCAGCAGACCTGGAGATAGCATTAAATGTTGTGCCAAAATGGAATTACTTAGTGATATCCAGCAGTCGGATTCAAGATTGATGGTCTTTCTTGCTATCTTAGAGTGGCTTTAAAGGGATATTCCGGTGTAAAATTAATTTAGGGTCAAACACACCGTAACACCGAGTTAGACACCCCATCGAGAGATAAATGTTGCCGACCGCGCTCAACCAAAATGCCACTCTATAGCCACCAAACATCTTTTTAACTTTGCCTAATTTCTTTAGCAAAGAGACTTAACACAGCTCACCTACTCTCTTCCAGCAGCCACTTGTTGATAGTGAGACCTCAGGCCAGTCCATTACAGACTACAGCGGGGTGTCACAGCTCAAGGAAGAACATTTATGATCATTACGTCATGGAAATGCAATCAGACCGAGACGCTAAGGCAGAAGAACTACCACGTCTGCAGTGAAAATGATAAATATGGTGATTATTACTTAAAGGAAATGATAAAGAAATGATCATAAATGTTCTTCCTTGAGCTGCGACACCCCGCTGTAGTCCGTAATGGACTTAGTCGAGATCTCGCTACAAACAAGCGGCTGCTGGAAGAGAGTAGGTGAGTTGTGTTTTGTTTAGTCCATAGACTGTATATAGAATTGACGCTGTCTGCCTCCTTGCTGGGTGAAGTCACTCTGAGAACAGAAAAATCGCAGAAATACCGAGAGCTTTTTGGCTTCAAATCTGTACACTGGCGGGAGGCGGAACCAAGTTGTCCATAGTATATACAGTCTATAGTGAGTTGTGTTTCGTCTCCTTGCTAAAGAAATTAGGCGAAGTTAAAAAGATGATTGGTGGCTAGTACTATGACTGTGACCCTATATGTACTGTTGATGAAGTTAGGTGCTGTTCTGAGCATTATTTGCGGCTATAGAGTGGCGTTTTTGTTGAGGTTTGTTTATGGTGTTTGACCCATAATCAATTTTACGCCTGAATATCCCTTTAATGTAAGTATTTCGATAAACAGTACATTTATTGACTCTGCTGGATGTGAAAAACAACAAACCTCCTCTAAGTCGAAGGTTTTTTTGAAATGGATTTAAGGCCAAGAAGAGACAGGTGGTCCTGGAGCTGGACTGGTAAAACTCAGCCGGGGTGGATGGATGGTGTGACTCCTGCTGGGGCCAGCTGCACCACACATGATCCCACTCCTGATACTCAAAGGTGTTTGGGATAAAAGGGTCGTGCAAATTGTTGCATGCAAAGTGTAGTAGAGTCTCGGAGAGCCAGGCGTTTCATTCTCCGAGGCGTGGAAGAACGCAGATATCTCCCTGCGGGGCTTAAGGGGGGGAGTCGTCCTCAATTACTCCATCGAGGTTCCCATGGAAAACAAAGCTGGGGCCTGAATCTTGGCTCTCACACACATGCATGCTCGCTTAATAAGAGTCCGGTGCCGCTTGTGGCTGTCCTGAACTATAGCGGCTTCTCTGAGATTTGAGGAAGTCTGAGTGAGGTTGATAGTAGATGCTGCGGAGGGCATGTTGTAAACAAACCTGGATCTGATCTGGATTCATCTCTTGTGCCAGAGCGGCGTTTGGTTTTAGCTTAAGGCGCAGAGGATGCCGGCCGTGTGAGGTCACCGCGGCTGGCTTGACCCTTGCTGACACTGTGGTTGGCTGGTTTCCCAAACTCACCAGTGGGTTCTCACATGACTGGAGCAGCAATGTGTTTTAGTAAACCTCGGGCCCTGCAGGCGAGAGGTCCAACACTTAGGGAGCTTAGTACCCTCGGCGTACGGGGACAGATCTGAGGACACAGTTAGGGGCGTGTTACAAGTAGGATGGATTACACAATATAGAAAACAGACTCCGTTTTTATTCCTTTTTGCATTTGTATTTTTTGCTGAAGTTTTGTGCACTTTTTGGGATTGACTGAATTATAATGAGTTGCATATTTAGCCAAGGTGGCGCAAACATTTTACAACTTATACATCTACAAGTCAGTGTAAAATATTGATTTAAAGAAGTGTTCAGAAAAAGGTGATTTGAATGTGATGCCAAAAACATCTTTCAAGAACAACACACTGAAACAAGTGCTAAAATGCTCTTTTTTTCCTCAACAGGTCAGTGATATAACTCGGATTAAACAGTAATTAATAGAGTTAAAAGACTTCAAGTCCCTCAGGCAGCTCTGCATTAAAAACAGGCATGACTCTGTAGTGGAACTCACCACATGGGTTCAAAATTACTTCCAAGAACTACTTCTCATTGCTGCATCAACATATGGAGGTTAAATCTGTACTTCTCAGACAGAAAACAACATTTAATAAGGACAGAGGTAGGTGTAGGTATCGCTACAAACAAGCGGCTGCTGGAAGAGAGTAGATGAGTTGTGTTTAGTCTCTTTGCTAAAGAAATCAGTCAAAGTTAAAAAGACGTTTGGTGGCTAGTACTATGGCTGGGACCCTATATGTCCTGTTGATGAAGTTAGGTGCTGTACTGAGCATTATTTGTGGTTATAAAGTGGCGTTTTGGTTGAGGTTTGTTTATGGCTCCTCAGACCGCTGTGTATTGCTATCGTGCGGTCGTTACTAAAGTTGGTATAACTAGAGAAGCAAGCAGTTGGCAACATTCATCTCTCGAGGGGGTGTCTAACTCGGCGTTACGATGTGTCTACGCCAGAATATCCCTTTAAGATGTGGAAAACGAAACTCCTTGCTCCTTAACCGTTTCTCATTGACTTATTATTGTTTTTATATACTTAACATGTTAAATAGCTCTAAAATGAAAGTTTTCTCATACATTTTTGATTACTTTTACTATATCTAGACTTGGGAGTTTTTCGGCATATATTTTACACATTTTTGATAAATAATCATCCTCAGGTTGCTCGTTAAAATAAGGTTTTAGTTTACCATAAATAGTCAAATTAAGGTTTGTACAGACCAGGGGGTAAACTCTGGGTGTCTCTTCGGTGCGTCTGCATGTCTAGGATCAGTTTTCTCCCTCTAAACAGTTGTTGGAAAACCCGCTAGCAGACTCTAGATAAGCCCGACAGAGTCACCGCCTATTTTTAACTCCAATAAAACTCCTAGCAACACAATTTGTCAGAGCTATTGACGCAAAGCTCTAATATCCCCCCGCGATTGGCCCGCTCCCCTGTCAGAAGACGTCAATCAAAATGATGAGCCAATCGGAGCCCGCGTTCGCCTCTTTGTTCCTCCCGTTCGGGCCGTGACGCAGAGGGTCATGTGTTGTTTGTGCTCTGGCCTGTAGAGATGTGTACAGGAGGAGAAGGGAACGGATTGCTAACCGAGCTAGCTGGATCCTCCCGATTATAGCAACACGGCTGAACGTGGTCATGCTGCACACGGGAGGCTTCATTTCGTGAAAAAAAGCCCGCTTCGGAATACCTGCCTCGCCGCCGAACCGGGAGAGAGACTCGTTTTACGCGGACTAACAAAGCCGGTTCGTGAGGATTGCAAATCTGAGCTGTGCGAGTCAACGTTAGCTGGCCTAGCCGGACTCGGGAGCTCGTCTCCCAAAACAAGAATGGGGTCTAGGTCCACTCGGATTAGCTTGCTAGTAAAGTGACCTTTGATTGTTTTCTTTGATGGCGAATTTCACGAATTACCAGGAAGGTAAGGCAGCGATGTTGATGGTGGAGACGCAGCAGAGGGACGTGGCGGCGAAATCCGCGGCCACCGCGAACGGGGACGGCTCGGTCGGGGAACCCCCTTCCCCGTTAATTAATATCAGCGGCGGTGCAGGAGGAGGAGGAGGTGGAGGAGGCGGCGGCGGTTCTCGCTTCCATCTACCGCCCTCAAGCCACCTCCACCACCAACACCTCAGCCACCCTCAACAACAACAGCAGCACCACCACTACCAGCTGGCCCCGCAGCAGCAGCATCTACCCGGGGAAAACATCGCAGAGTCCCCGGGCAGGAAAGCTTCCAGCCAGGTACACGCCGCCGAGGACCCCGCCGCTGCCGCGTCTCCTGCCGCTTGCAGCAGCAGCAGCAGCAGCAGCCATGTATACGCTGCTGTTAACGTCGCCAATACCTCGGAGGTTGTGGATGATATTCGCAAATGTGGCTATTTAAGAAAGCAGAAACATGGACATAAGCGGTTTTTCGTGCTCCGGGCGGCCAGCCACCTGGGGCCGAGCCGCCTGGAGTACTATGACAGCGAGAAGAAATTCAAGAACAGCCTGCGCTCTGCTGCCGCGGCCGCCGCCAGCGGTGGAGCGGTCGCCCCTTCTCCCCCGAAAAGGGTTATTTACCTCTACCAGTGCTTCACAGTGAACAAAAGGGCGGATTCCAAAAACAAACACCTCATTGCCCTTTATACTAAGGACGAGTATTTTGCTATTGTGGCTGAAAACGAGCAGGAGCAAGAGGACTGGTACGTAGCTGTCAGTGAGCTGATGAGTGAGGGTAAAAAAGGGCACTTGGATTCAGATGATTTAGATGATGGATATGGTACTGTAACTCCTGGTACTGTCTTTAAAGAGGTGTGGCAGGTGAATGTGAAACCTAAAGGACTGGGCCAAACGAAAAACCTCACAGGTGTTTACCGGCTATGCCTCTCAACGAAAACCATACACCTCGTAAAGTTGAACTCTGACACCCCGTGTGTTAACCTTCAGCTGATGAATATCAGACGATGTGGACATTCAGAAAGCTTTTTCTTCATCGAGGTGGGTCGCTCCTCCTCTATCGGGCCCGGGGAGATATGGATGCAGGTGGATGACTCCGTCGTGGCCCAAAATATGCATGAGACCATCTTGGAGACGATGAAAGCCCTGAAAGCATTTGCAGAGTTCAGGCCGAGGAGTAAGAGCCAATCATCAGGCTCTAACCCGATGCCGTTTATCACGACGCGGCGCCACCTGGGCAACCTGCCACCGAGCCAAACGGGGCTGCAGCGGCGCTCCAGGACAGAGTCAGTTGTTGGCACGCCACCCTCCAGTAAAAGTTCGGGCGCAAGTGGATATCGTTTCCGAACATCCAGCGAGGGCGAAGGGACGATGAACCGGCCTTTCCGCTCCGCCACAGGAAGTCTGGTCCATCTCAACTCCACACGTGCCCACCACGGTCGTCAGGATGGGGCTAGCAGCAGCGGCGGAGGTGGCGTTGCTACAGGAAATGCGGGCACCAACACAGGAAGCGGGCGCTACATGAGAGCTATCCCAGGTACGTCATCCACCTATCACGCCCGCTCCGCCTCCCTCCCAGTCTCCCACTTCCCCTCCACCACCAGCCCAGTGAGCGTCTCCTCAAGCAGCGGCCACGGCTCTGTTTCTGACACCCTGACCCGCCCTTCAAGCGCCTCAATATGCGGCTCGCCGTCAGATGGTGGCTTCAACTCCTCAGATGAGTACGGCTCCAGTCCAGGCGACTTCAGGTACTTCCGGGTGAGGAGTAACACGCCAGACTCACTCGGAAACACCCCGCCAATCAGAGAAGAGAACTGTCTGAATGATTACATGGCCATGGGCTGGAACAGGGAGGTCTTCGGCACCGGCAGCGGTTCTGGAAACAACAGTGGAGCTGACACGCCGCGGGATGAAAGCACGTCAACAACAGAGGATGAGCGCCTGTCTTCATCATCATCATCACTAAGGCGGAGGACTCACTCTTTTTCCAGACCTGCTGGTGGAGCGACCAGTGGTTCTGGTGTGGCGGTGTACCAGAAAATGACCCAAACCAACTTCTCTTTGGAGGAAGGCTCGGACGTGGTGCTGCCGTTTGGAAGCGGGCTCCTACGTGGCGGGCCATCCTCCTCCTCCTCCTCCCTCCGCTCCGACTACAGCTCCTGCTCCGAGCACAGCCAGCAGAGCCGTCCCTCCACGCTCTCCAGGACGGAGGCCGGCGGCGAGCGCCCTCCTCTTTCATCCTCCTCATCTGCCAAGGAAGACAGCGGCTACATGCCCATGATGTGCGGCGTAGCTGCGTCGCCGCGGGACACGCCTCCTGACTACATGCCTATGCAACCCACCTCTTATTCCCACCCTGTCTCCCACTCCCCCCAGTTTCACAGTCCGGCTTTAGGAACACGCTCAGCCCACCACCACCACCACCCTCAGCTCCAGTCACAATCCTCCACAGACTCCCATGGCTACATGATGATGCTTCCAGGGGGCAGTGGCAGCTCCCCCTCCCCTGGTCAGGCCTCCCCCAGCCCCCACAGCAGCTCCAGCATGGCAGGTGCGAGTGGGACTGAGAGTATAGCAGAGAGACCTGAGAACGGGGAGTATATGGACATGTCATACAGCAGCGGAGGGGGGCGCAAGCTCTCAAACGAGGGGTACTACACACCTGGCACACCTGAGAGCACCCCAAAGTCTTACAGCCCGTACTTCTCCCTCCCTCGCTCCTATAAAGCGCCCACCAGAGAGAGAGACGAGAAGGAGTACGGGGAGTACGTTCCCATGAGTTCTCCTGCCAAACCCGTCTTTTCATCAGTCGCCACAGCTTCCATATCCACACCTGAGAAGAGAGGTGGGAGGAGTAGTAGCACCTCCACGCCGTCTCACCCACCACCGCCTTATGGAGCCCACCATACCACTGCAGCGATGGCTGACAGACGCGTCGTGAGGCCTAACCGCCTCCCTTTGGGCAGGAGAAGTTTCCACGGTCCACTGCGGGTTAGTGAGCCCTCCATGGTGTCTGCAGGCACCTCCACCTCTGTCCCCGCCACTGTCAGCTCCTCAGAGGGGCCCTCCAGTCCTGGAGAGTATATCAACATAGAGTTTGGGGATCACTACCCCCTCCAACAGCAGCCCCCCGCCTATCCTCTCTCTGCTGAGGATGAAGTGAGTTCCCTGGGGTCCAGCGATCATCACTCCTCCCCGCAGCCCCAAACCCACCAGGACTACATGAGTGTGGAGGTCGGGGTAGACCAGCAGGATAAAGCTGGGTGTCTCGGTAAAAACCAGTCCCCCAGACCCAGCCTTGTTGCCCCGTGGAACCCGCCCAGCTACATAAGACCCCTAGCGAGCAATCCTGGGGCGCTGGCCTCCCCTGGAGTCCCCGCTGGCGGACACTGGAGGTCAATGGGGGACGACTACACGGACATGACCTTCAACCTCAGCAGAGGTGAGAGGACTCAAACCAGCCCCACCGCCATGCTGCAGCATCTCTGTGTCTTAGAGGGCTGTTACAGCCACACCCCCTCTGCATCCTCCCCATCCATCTCTCCTCCTCTCCCCCCCTCGAGCCCCAGCAGGGCGCCCACACATCAACAAGAACCCAAGGTGGTCCGGGCAGACCCCCAAGGCAGAAGGAGACACAGCTCAGAGACGTTCTCCTCCACCTCCTCTTCAAATTCAACTCCTTCTGGAGGGGGGCCCTCATCCTCCTCCACCCACCCCTCGCAGGTCAACCCCTCAGCCCCGAATGGATCTTACCTACAGGAGGGTCAGGCTTCCAGATGGACCAGTTCAGCATCTTTTGACAGCGTCTGGGTCTCTGTGGAGGGTCACGGGGAATCACCAGCCCATCACGCCCCAACGAGAGCTCTGGAGATGGGCTCAGCCTCCGGGACATCAGCGTCCTCTTCCTTGGGGGCCGGAGGAGCTCGAATGTGTAGGAACATGTCTGTGGGCTACCAGAACGGCCTGAACTACATTGCCTTGGAGCTGAGGGAGGACGGGAGTAACACGGGAGCCGGTAGCAACGACGGGAGCTCGACGACAGCGGCAGTGGCGGCGGCGGGGACGGTGTCTCTGCCGGAGAACGGAGCCTACGCCAGTATAGACTTCACCAAATCTGATGGAGTCACCACAACCAAGGGTTAGTAAACATGCATGTTTTTTTAAATTTGACAGTTCAGAGAGTTCGTTCATGTTTTCTTCTGTTTAGTTTTTATGAGAGTTTGGAGGTAAGTTCAGCTGAAAATGGTGCAAAGACAGGATATCAACATTTGAATCTTGAAAATCAGAGAAACTCTCATTCGATTTTAAGAGCGTTAATTCTTAGCAGGTCAGTAACACAATAGGGCAAAGTTTCATCGCTTTGTGAGAGACTGCGTGAGCAGATAGCTCAACAGTTTCAGAGTGATGATCTTTGTGGGGATTTAAGGATTCCATCGTCTAATATTTATCAACTTTGGCCTTCAGCTGACACTGCTTTAAAAACAGACAAATCCTTTTGTTTGTGAACACACATTGTCATATGTTGTCTTTGCACCTCTTCAGCGAGAAAGTTCAAACGACTTGAAAACCATCAAATTCTGTTTTTGTCCACGTTTTACAGCTGTTCTGAAATCGGGGTTTGACTTTCTTTCTCCGCCTGCTCACCTGAAAATCGGCTTTGAAGTGCGAGTGAAAGAAAATCAGTGTTACAGATTTTTCTCCCTCTCTGAAAATCCGAAATAACCTTAAGTGCTGCGAGCTATTATTAGGCGCATTATATCAATTTGCAGCTCCTCTAGTGAATCTATTTTGGATCAGGCCTCTGTGATCTTGACAAGGCTGCGTTCAGGCGCTCCGAGCGAGCAGCCAGCCGTTGTCTTTGAAGGCATCTGTCCAGGGAGCCGGAGTCTAGTCTATAACAGAGCTGCTGCAGGAAGTGGCACCAATATGCGGTTCATCTTGAGGTCTGCGTGTGTGTTTTTATGCGAGCAGACCGGGGAGACAATTAGCTCTCTGAATGAACCGAGGTTTATCTGAGGTCAAGTGCGGACTGAATCGCCCAAAAAAGGCCCTGACTTCCTGCCTTTGTAGCTGGTGCTGTCTGTCTGTGCCTGTCTGTGCACGTGTCGCTGTTTTCTTTGTGTCAGCATGTGTGTGTGTGCGTGTGTGCAGAGTGTACGAACGTGTGGGTGTGTGTTCAAACGGGCTTTTGTCTGCTCTCAGCCTGTCACTTGAGACACTTTTAGACATCTTTTGAAATAATATATTTATGTGTACAAAACATGGAGCGGCTCCCAGCCAGCGAGCCGCGGTAGTTTCGCATGATGGCAAAACACGTTCAACACCATGCAGAGAAGTCACACACTGAGATTGTTAGAGACTGTTTTTCTTTAACCATCTTTGATTATTCTTCGATTATTATTCACAGGCTCTGATTTTTTAAGTCTTAAAGGAGGGGTAGGCAGGATCTGAGGAAGTGCCAGATTTTGGGAGAAACCTTGAGTCTTGAGTGTAAACACTACCCCTCCCAACCAGTTTTCCCCTCAGCTCCTCTTCTCCCCTCACTCGTATCGTTCCAATTAAATTCAGATATAATGCAGATAAATACTTCAGATAATTACAAATGGGGCCCAGTCAAGGTGAAAGTCATTGGTGCTACTGTAGATGCCAACAGACTACCAGCAAACACAATGTTTGCAGGACTTCTACAACGAGGATAAAGTGACATAGTCCAGGACCTGAGGTCAACAGTTTAGCGGCGCTACAACATTTAGCAGGTCCCGTTTGACAAGAAACACTTCTGTTACAGACACTTGTCTTACTTTGTTGAAGCGGTTTACCTGTCCAGCAGAAAGGTTACAGGGTCCGTAAGATCACAAAGCATTCACTGATGTTGACCCAGCTTTTTAGCTCTTATCCTGTCTATCTCTGCTCTAAGCGATGAAGGACGATTTTAATAATTTTCTGTACTTTCTGGTCGGTTTCTACTGTCTGATATTGTAGCGCGCTAACTTTGTTTAGGCTCGTGAATGTTATTCGAGGACGTGAAGCGTGCCTCACAACACGGGGGAGCAGCGTCGGCCTCGCAACCAATCAGGTTGGGGAAGGTGGAGAATAGCTTTGTTTACAGTCAGAAAGAGCTGGCCGCTCAAAGATTTTAAAATGTTGACTACACAGACATAACAAAACACAGCGATATCGTTATATTACCAAATGTCTTCAATAACTATTAAAAGCTTTTTTGTTTATACACCACAAAAAAAGATGCTTCTTTAACGGATTCCTGCCTATCCCAACTTTTAAATATGTCAAATTATAGTTTTTCAGAAGGCAAGGTAACTTTTCGAACAGTCTAAACCTCCCATGGCGACAAAGAAGCTGAACTTCTTGATCAAAAAATGTTTGATCAAGAAGATCAACTTTTTGGCTCTAAAGTCTTCAAGTGAATAATCTCTGGTTTCCTTCCTCATCTGTGGCAGTAAAAACAGACTGAAACCTCTTAAGTGTTTTTACACGCAAACCTTCCAATATTTCATCATATTTTGCAGAAACTTGATGATAAATCACACTGGAGGTACATTAGAAGTAATATTTAGCACATGCGGTTTATTCTCCATTAAGATTTCCTGTTCCCTCTTCCTTCAAATTTCCTGTTTCCTCTGCTGTGTAGCAGCTGTGAGCGATGTGAATGACTTCCTCTATCACTTCCTCTATGACAGGGTGTGTAAGTTTTCTATCTGGATATTAACATGAGTGTGAGTGGAGGAATTTTTTTGATTATCGCCGTGTCAGCATTAGCTTAGAGACACACAAAAGGGTCCAGACTTGAACGTCTTCACAAATCTTCACATCATCATTTGAGATTAATAGACTTATTTGTTCCTTCATGCAAACTGCAGACGTCCGTGTGAGTGTGTGTGTGAGGTGCTGAGGTAAGGTCTGCAGCGGGTGCTCAGATCAAGACGATGACAAAGAGGATGTTTTGACTCTGTTTACACCTCCTCTTTGATCACCTCCTCTCCTCTTTTACCCACCCGTCCTCCTCCCGCTCCCCCCAAATCTTCTCATCTCTCGCTTTCCCTGTCGCTTCGTGTGCACGGAGCATGAGTCAGGATTGTCTGCGAGCGGCGACTGACTCATTTGTTTATCGCGGGGCTGAACGCAGATGAAAGTGTGTGTTTGCGAGTGTGTTTCTGTCTGTGTGTGTGTTTGTGTGTGTCTGTTGTTTTCAGTGTTGGCGTGGGTTTGCATGTTTTTAACTAATGCAGGTTCAAAGAGTTGTGCAGAAACCTAAAACCAGGCCAGAGTGTCTGATCAGTCTGGAGTCCGTCTGTGTTGGTGTGTTTACAGTTGGTACTTTGCAGCTAGGCAGGTAGGTGTGTGTGTGTGTGTGTGTGTGTGTGTGTATGTGTGTGTGCGAGCTGAGTCATGGCAGGCAGCCCTTTGATGTGGCGCTGTAATTGCGGCGGCGGCATGTCAAGGCACACAGCGGGGCCGAGAGGAAACGCATCATCATCGCTCAGGAATGCACTTCCTCTCAGCTGCGGTGTGGAGCTGATACAGAAACACCTGGATCCCTGACCCGCTGGAGCGGGGAGGGGGGGGGTCTGTCCAGCTGTCAAGGAAACTGAACTACAAATATTAAATAAAACATGAATCAGGTGTGTTCACATCAGATCAGGTTGCAGGACGAAGAGATCGCCTTAGATTGAAGGCTGTTAGCTTGTTTTGATGTTGTTGGCATTGTCATGACAACAACACGTTTTGTATTTAACCAGGAGCATCGTGTCAAAGTGACGGCTTAATACACGTGTCATCAGGGAACCCGCATGTTTCAATAGACTCGCCAATTACAGCACAATCAGGCAGATTATCAACATCCTATTAACGGGCTAGCTTGCTGGCTAATATGCTAACCACTCCTTGGGTGGTACTCAAGTGCTTGGCAAGGCTTACAGTGGCGTCTTCTTCTTGGGAATGTGTTTTGTAGTGTTTTTCACACTTGTGTTAAAGGGATAATCTCTCATGAAATTAATTTAGGGTCAAACACACCGTAACACCGAGTTAGACACCCCCGTCGAGAGATGAATGTTGCCAATCGCTTGCTTCTCTAGTTATACCAACTTTAGTAACGACCCCACAATAGCAATGCACAGTGGTCTCAGGAGCCACACGCAAACCTCAACCAAAACACCACTACAGCGGGGTGTCGCAGCTCCAGGAAGAACATTTATGATCATTTCTTTATCATTTCCTTGAAGTAATAATCATCATATTAATCATTTTGCACTGCAGACTCGGTAGTTCTTCTGCCTTAGCATCTCGGTCTGATTGCATTTCCATGAAGAAACGATCATAATAATGTTCTTCCTCGAGCTGCGTCACCCCGCTGTAGTTCATAATGGACTGGTAAAAGTCTTGCTACAAACAAGCGGCTGCTGGAAGTGAGTGGGTGAGTTGTGTTTAGTCTCTTTGCTAAAGAAATCAGGCAAAGCTAAAAAGATGTTTGGTGGCTAGTACTATGTCTCTGACCCTATATGTACTGTTGATGAAGTTAGGTGCTGTTCTGAGCATTATTTGTGGCTATAGAGTGGCGTTTTGGTTGAGGTTTGTTTATGGCTCCTCAGACCGCTGTGTATTGCTATCGTGCGGTCGTTACTAAAGTTGGTGTAACTAGAGAAGCAAGTGGTTGACAACATTCATCTCTAGAGGGGGTGTCTAAACTTGTTAGGGTGTGTTTGACCCTAAATTAATTTTACGCCTGAATATCCCTTTAAGTTCTCGATCAGTGCTGGTGTCAAAAGTGGTGGACATGTTGAGACAGAGGCGTTGCTTTTCGTTCTCTAAATTGAAGCGTACAGCATGAATGACTGACAGGCACACGTCTGGTCTGTCTTTCTTTGTTGATGCCGCCATTTTGCGGAGCTGCAGGTTGTATTATTTTGTCGTTTCGGTTACGAAATAGTTCATATTGAAGCATTTCTCCCCAGCTGTCAAAAAATGGTCCCCCATTATTAGCAGACGGTAAAAAAAGTCATTTTGTGCCATTAACTTTTATACTCCTAAAAAGCCTGACAAATAAACTACCCATACTCCTCTTGTGTTTTGGTGATTGTGATACAGCCCCAAAGCATTAAAGGGTGAAGACAGGGGGATTATGGGAAAGAGCCCACCCTCAGTGTCGTGTGGTCAGGTGGATATAAGATGTCTAAGAGGTTAAAGCGGGGTCAGGGGAGGAAGTCGTGGACTTAACACGGCTTGGAGACAAGTTTTTTAAAATGTAAGTGACAGCGGTGGGAACCTGCCCTTTCCCTCCCCGCCTCCCCCCTCCCCGCCTGTCCCCATGAGGAGGGGGGGGGCAGGGTTAGGCAGAGTGTGAGAGAAGACGGTACAAGGCTGCCCTTTCCTCCCTCGTTCCCACCTCAGCGGTCTATATTTACAGCTCTATTTCCAGACTGACATGAATTTATGGTGGTAACTGGACCCCCCCCCCCTTTCTGCATTCAGAGGACCCTCTCTCTTTAACAGCCAGATACATGTATATACCCACAGATGTTAGAATTATTAACCATCATGCATGCGCGCAGCAGTATCGCTTTCCAACAGCCGCTCCGAGTGTCACAGCAGAAAATTTGCAGCTCTTTAAAAGCCCACAGAAGGTTAAAAATTTGCCCGTTTTCTCGTCTAATTAGAGAGTAAATAACTTCCACCGTTTGACGACCGTGTTAATTCAAAGCGCTGACATGCTAAGGGGGCTTTCAGCATAGGTGGCCCACCCTGACAAGCATGGGAATCTATAAACCCGTCAGTGTTGGTGCCCATCGAGCTAAACGGGGGGGATTCGATCCCTCAGCCTGCTGGACGTGCCGGCACCGGCAGGGTTCCCATTGGCTGATGAAGTCCTGGAGTATCAGTGGATTTAAAGAGGCGTTTCCCACAGCGTTAAATTACAGAGAGCTCATTAATGATGGGCTCCGGAGTGTTTGTTTATTCGGTGTTGGTCTGTGCTTTTTAAGGAAGGTTTCGGACGCCATTTTTTAAAACTTTTGTAAATATCAAACGATGATCTGATTTTTAAAAAAGGACGCACTACACAACGCCGATTATCGCTGTACATGCGCGATGTGGTTTCAGTCATGCATGTTACAGTCTAGTTGACCATCAGTCCTCCTCCTGCCAGTATGGGAGTCACCTTTTTACAGTCTTTTGTTTGCACTCAGATTATTAGCGATTCCCCTCTCTGTCTTCACGATCTACTGCAACAACTGTTCTTTAAGCGTCAAACAGATCCGATTTAACATTTTAGTTTATTAATGTATTAGTTCATGTGTTCGCCAGCCTGCTAACCATAAAATACTCAAACTTTTAGGTCTAATAACAAGACAAGATAATCAATACCAGATCAGGAAAATGGCATCTTTATTAGATTACACTCGATTGCCGAACTATTTGAGATTACCACAGCCTTACAGTGAATTCACGGTTTTTAAAAAACGTAGGATATGAGACATTCGGGGGGGTTAACTGAATAAGATGTTCCAAATTTTTGCTGTACACAGATAAGCCATCGTAAAATAAAAAAGACAGAAAGTTCCGGTCTAGACAGTCTAGTTGAGCACCGTGTTCCTACAGGTGGTAAAAACAGAATCTTAAGAACTTTAGATGGTAAATCTGACAAAATCAGTGATCTAGAGATGAATTATTTTTGCTTTTGGAAAGAAAACTTTGATTTTTTTTGGCATTTTCTGATAATTTTGTAAGTTGTGATTCTACTTGTCTGTGATGAATCACTCGATTATTATCACAATCTGTTTGTTTTGATAGAGAACTTTGAAGGGCCCTCTGCTCATTCCCAAAAGCGTTGTCAAAAACACCTTATTTATTGTCACAAAAGATAAGACATTAAGTCAGTTTTTCTATAAATAGTTTCCCAGACTTCCTAAAAAAAATTTGTTTCGATCAGCGTCGAAGCCGGGGAGTCGAAACGATCCCGCACATTAAATCAAGTCTCCGCAGTGATAGAGCTCTACAGCGGAGATGAGTTGTGCGTCTAACGTCCCGCGGAGCTCACTCAGAGGGACTTGTTGTGTCTCCTCGGTAATAAATGGATCCAAACACTGTCAGCTATGTGCTCGCACTGTTCCCGCAGGTTTTAGTGACTCTGTAGTGTACATTTCAAAGGTTTTCCTCCTGAGCGTTACTTAACCTCGGAGGCTCCTGTTCCTCTGAAAAATGCAGAAACTCTCAGCCCTTCTTCACGTCATGTTCTCGTCCCTTTCTTCTTCTACTGTTTTAGAGTTTTACTACAGTTTGCTTACAGGAATACGACGTCAGAGAACTTGATTAGAGTTTTGTTTGCATACCTGGTTTGCAGTATGAAAAGTAAATTTTGAATCAGATTAGAAGAAGCTTGAGCGGAAACCTTGACAGTGTTGAGGTTTTTAAGCACCGGAAACGTCCATCTCTCTCTGTATATCTCGAAGTAACTCACAGCAGGAATAGTCCGGCCCGTGAGGGTAAACGAGGGTAAACTATCCACTAATCGAGCACATCTGGCTTTGTTCTCTCAGACAGATTAAGATATAAAAATAAACCAGATGTGTTAAAATTCCCTCCAGGTGTTGTTGACGAATCAGTTTCTAAAATTTTCAGGAGCTCTGCCCTCAAAAAGTTGCTCGTTCACACACGTCCCTCACAGTCAGTCCTCACAAAGTCCAGACTGTTGTGGGAAGGAACGGCAAGTGATTCACGCAACTGTATGGCCCAGCCAGGCTACTCTTTCTTCACACTGGGCTATTTTTACGCTGTTACGTGTCGCCCTTCTGGGTTGGCACAAGTTGCATGATGTAAACTCGTGTTATTACAAAACCGACATTTGGTCGAGTTTTCATGATACTAAATATATTCATCGACTTTCTGTTAGCGGGCTAGCTCACAAGTTTCTTTGCAAACTTGTCGTGTTATTACGACGCTAAAGCACTCAGATACCCTCCACTCATGACGCTGTCGCTGATTTTAAAGAGTCAGTTAGTTCGTCAGTCGGCTCTGTCGGCAAATAGTCAGACCGAAGGGCGAGGAGGGTGTGGTTGTATTATTTTGCAGATGACTCACCGTTGTCGTTGGTAGTGGACATGTTGGGACAGAGGCGTTTCTTTTCTTTCTTTGAGTGAAAGCAGAGGCTTAAACCGCCGGGCTTTGACCCCCCTGAGCGTTGACAGTCCTTGTTGAGATATAATTATATTTTATCCTCTCAGTTCATAAAAAGTCGGCTTTTGTCAGTAGGACACTTGAAGTACTCAAAAGTTAGACTTTCTCCCACACTCCCCAGATTAAAAAGTGTCAAACAAAAGTACTGATATAACAAAAAAAGACTTTTGTGAACCATGTCTGACTAGGATGGAGAATATTCCTGGACATTTTCCACTTTTTCCAACTTCTTCAGGTAATTTGACTAATTGGTAGGAAAAATTCAGGTAAAGTCGGAATGAAAACTAAAGCTGTTTGAGGCTGACACGTACATTTCGAGAAGTTTTTTTATGAGTACAGCTGTAGCTACTGAATTTATGCATGTTTTAATACAGAAATAACTTCTGTTTAATCAAAGAATATGCTTGTTTTTACACTCATATCTAAAAGAGGAGATTTAAAACAATTATATTTGAAGATATCAGTTTATGCAATGAGTGATAAATGAGATGATTAACGAAGTCTTCCGAACTAAATAAGGTTTTAAATTCTTCACACAAATGTTTCCCGACTTGTAAAGTAACTCAACTCTTCATCTATCTTTTGTTTTCTGTGTTTAAACCCCTGACTGTGAAAATAATTAAGCTTTAAATTGTCTTATCAAATGTCGACCACATCTCAAGGTGAGAAAAATGACCGACCGGTCAAGTGCCCGATCGAACTCCCGCCCACTTTCTTCTCTCGATCTGCACTTTAAAGGCTGTTGCCCCAGCTGTCACGCCAGCCCGTGTCAGGTCAACACGTTACGCTTACTGTCCACTCCCATGATGCCTTTCATCTGTTGTCCCAGCTGGGTGAAAAGGGGTTTAGGGCTGGGCGGCGGGTCGGGGAGGGCAGAAAGAGAAAGAGAGAGATGTTCACAGCTCTGAACACCTGCCTCTGTTGCAACGCCACAACAAGCTGTTAACTAATGCAGGTGTTTGGCGAGAAGTGTTTTTATAACCCGATTCTGCGCCGAGTGTGTTCGTGTCTGTGTGTGTCTGAGCGAGGTCAGACCGGGTCAGTCGGTCTCGTGTCCTCAGAGCGTTGTTTTGATCAATGTCCTGGACTCGACAGAAACCCAGAGACCTCAGACTGCTCCCTCCCCTCTCTCTTTCTCTTTCGGTCCGGCTCCCACGAATGCACCAACCCAGAATCGGTGTAGTTTTCTGGTCGTGTCCAAAGTTAACTCTGTGTTTCTGTCCTAATCTCATTGACCCATTAGCTAAGACCCCCTATTAGCTTAAATACCTGGACTAATTACTATTAAAGATTTATGTGTTTCTAAAAAGAAAAATGTAGGAATCAGGTTTGAAAAACAAATAAAATATAAACTCCTTTTTTCGTTTTTCATTTACTAGATTAAATGGATGGATAATAATGGACCAAGCGGGTAGTGCTAGTTCTTCTAGAGTTAGCATCTTTTAACATTTCAGTTTGACAACGCCACCCAAAAAGTCTGTGATCCTGTGTGGAGCCATGTTACATAAATCATGATCATACGCCTGTCTGGCTGGTTTCTTACTTTATCAAAATCTTTAGACAACCTGAAATCAGTCACCTCAGAGCATCCTGAACCACAACCCACTCTCCGTTCATTATCATGCGTATTGCATAGCTACTTGATTACTGAGTCTGTTAAATAAAACACCAAATGTTGACCAAATTTTTAAAAAATTTATTTCAGAGACAATTTTCCAGTCACAGTTCAAGCAGTACCATGTTGTTGTTGATAGTTTAGATTATGAGCCATCTCCAGTTTTTGTTTTCACCACCTTTCGGGACCAGTGTGATATTCATCAGCCAGTCCTCCAGATTCGTCCGTGATTCGAGCTGCATTCCTGGTTACGATCTGTTCCTCAAAGTAACAGCGTGTCCTTAATAAAAGAAAACATCCTGCAAACAAATAATCAAGTTTTAAATGATAAATAAAAACTGCAGGGTGAAGCATACTTTGGGATGGATCTTTGCTACCAGCTTCTCCGGGACCTTTAAGTCTTAAAAGGAAGTGCTTCACTTTAAAACTTGGTCCAGCAGCAGCAGCGCAAAATAAGCACACTTTTAGTTTGTAGTTTTGACCCAATTTACCCACAATTTCACAGTGTTTTGGAGGAGGAAGTGAGACACTTTTTTAATCTCTCTCTTCTCATAAACATCCCCTCTAAGATCCGACCATTTCTTGAGCTTTACCCGCCGTTAGAAACCTTCTTTGGGTTTTGGACCTCTTTGCTTGGTTCTAGTTTACATGCTGTCTACCTGTAAAACTCATCTGCCAACTCACTACAAGTAGTGTTGTAGTCAAGACCGCACAAACCGAGACCAAGATATTACCGAGACCAGAGACGACCGAGACCGAGACAAGTCTGAGTGACAATGCCTTCGATTCCGAGACGACACCAAGACCCTCAAAAACTGGTCTCGAGCAACTTCAGAAACGGTTTCTGAGCTTTATTTTGAAGAGTCGGGTTTCTGCTCTCAGATTGTTGGATTTCAGGTCTGATGGTTTTGGTTTTGTTTATACAGGAAGTGTTGCTCCTCCGCCGTTATTAACAGCAGATCTGGTTTGGCGTTTGCCAGGTTTGTCTGTATCTCGTTAAGGTCTTTGCAGCGGTAAATGCTCTTCGCTCAGTCGCTGGATGTGGTTTGATTAGCTCTGTTTGGGACTCATCCAGGCCGAGTTTGTGTACAGTCCTTCCTCCGCCGCTTGTCTTTCTATCTGTCCGTCCGTCCGTCCATCCATCCCTCCATCCTCGTGGCTGACAAACAGAGCAGCAGCATTCCAGCACTGCCCCCTGTCAAAGCATCTGTGCTGTGGCGTGCCGCTCACATTGTTGTGTCGGACAAAGCCTCGCTCTTAGTGGAATAACCCAGCTGGACGGCGGCCATCGCCGGGGTCATTCAGGGCCGCCGGGCCGCACCACAACAGCCGACCTGACAGCCCGGGGCCCGGACACGATAGCGGGGCAGGAAACAAACATTATGTGTGTTTGTGTCTGCTGGCAGTCAGCTGGATCCAAAGTTCACCGGCCACGCTCACTTATTTACTAGACAAACAGATTTTTTTAGCGAAACTCGGTCAGTGAACACTCTCGGACTGTTGTTCAAACCTAAATACTTCTAATCCCTCTATTATTATTGTGTGAAATATCCCCCAGCAAATCTTTTTCCATGTTTATAGTTGTGTAACTCTGCGTTTGGGTTATTTGTCGCCTTATGACTCACAGTCCTGAGCTGACCCGATCGCCGCTGTAGTTTTCCTGAATTTAAAACTGTTTTTTTTAAAAGATTTTCCCCCCCTTAAAGGTCCACATCTGTCCCCAGAAAAACCCTGAAACCCAGTCCAAATTCATCAGAATCAAAACCAGCTTCTGTTATTAGTCCAAAACCTCCGTCAGTGAACCAGACACTCGGCTTTCTTTGAGTGCAGAAAAACAAAGTGTTTTACATCGACTGCAGCTGCTCAGATCTCACTGTTTACAAATCGAACAGCTCACACTCCTGATAAATATCATCACTGATTTATCTGTTTATTATTTTCATAAATTGTAAGCAAGAAAAACGTTCCCGAAAAGCTTTAACCTGAAAATCTAGGCCAGTACTGATCCTGATTCTTCTTCAGGTCCATTTCTGAGCTGCTGTTTTCATTTCAAGTCCAGGAGAAAGTTTTTACTCAGCAGTAGACGTGTTGTTTGAAACTCAAACTGCACTTTAATAGTCTTAAATGATCCGATTTTAACTCTTGATTCTTCTGAACTCTCAGTATGTTTACATGACACTCGAGAAAACCAAATTTTTGCCTTATTCCGATTAAGACCGGAAAAATTTGACTCCGAATATTTCATAATTTCATATATTTGCATCGTTCCCAGTGCGTGAGGACCTTAAGTCCGACTATAATCAGAGTTGGAGAGCCCCGATTAACACACCCAGATAGTGTGATTGGAATTCGATTTTCTGTACCATGTAACTAGCGTAGTCGGAGTATGATCGGACAATGCATGTGCGCCACACCTCCGTAACTCTTGTACAAAAACACCAGAGAAGAGGAGTGGCGTGCGTCTCATTTGCAGAAAAAGTAGTGCATACATCATGTACGACAATAACAACGCTGTACAATGCTCCATCTTCTTGCTCTAAAAATACCCAGCAGCAGTTGTAGACACTTTGGAAGTCTGACACGGACCTGCTGTTGTTGTTGACGGTTGTATGGGGTCGGAAACAGCGCCGCTGAAAAGACCTGTACCGGAGGACACGTTCACATAAATATTTCAATTTTCTCAGCTGCATGTATACAGGGACAAGGAGAGAAGTCCGATTCTGCGAAAAAAACAAATTATGAGCTTAGTCATGTAAACGCACATGGTCCTCTTGTCTTATTATGTGGCGTCCCTCAAGGATCAGTTCTGGGCCCGGTTCCTTTTCGTTTTTTTCGATACATGCTCCCCCAGGGATCTAATTTCCACATATTTAGCATCTTGTTTCATTTCTTTGCTGACGATGTTTAGATAAACTGAAGTAAACTGAAGCTGAATGTCTCGTAGTTTGAGTAACAAACTGAGAAAAGCAGTTCAGGACATATTTGTGTGTTTAATTCATGATCAAATATCAGTTCTAAAACGCCTCTTCCTGCTGTTTCCACTCCTCACTTTGTTTTCTCTCATTTTCTCTCGCAGATTGAGCGACGAGGGGATCGAGATTCCCCACTCTCCTCCTCCTCCTCCTCCTCATCTCTCAGCTCGGGGCACTTGACTCTGCCTGTGACCTTTTGGCCTCACCCCCCCCTCCTCCCGCCACCGGTGACCTCTGACCTCCTCACCGCTCCCTTCTGGATGCAGAAAACAACAACAACAACAACAACATCATCATCATAACAGATGACAAAAACGCTTGCAGTTTTTAAAGTGTTTCTCATTTTTATTTCGTTTGTGTTTTTTTTTTAAGCATATCTCGTCTGTTTTGTTTCTTTTTTTTATTTTTAAATCATTTCTTTTTCTCACAATCGATGCTGCCAGTTTGCTCTGCTTTTTTTCCTCCCTCGTGTTCAACGGACTTCTTCACAGAGGGGGTCTCATCAGAACCCTAGACGGTCTTATTATGATCAGATAGTTCTCCAAGTGCGATACTTAAAAAAGAAAAAGGGAGGCTGGATTACTAAACAAAGGCATTATGGTACAGATGTGCAAACTTTTCTATAAAATTTAATTGTTTTTTTTTTGTTTTTTTTTACCCCCCCATCATCCTCGACACGGTACCTTTCAGCTCTGACATTGTTGACAAAGTTGGATTAGATTAATTTCCCTGACTGGATTAAATCCTTAAAACGGTACAAGCTCGCGGCTGGATCCAGTTTCACCCAAAACCCGACAAGAGTGGCATCACACAAGCGCCCGGCTCTGGGTTACAGCTTCGCTTGGCACCCGTTGTGAAATTCAAAACAGCTCAAGCGTTCCTCCACATACTCACATTGTAGCACATTTTATTTATTCGTTGCAATAGGTACGATTTTTCTTTTTCCGGTACATTTCTTTGTTCGATGGTACTCAGCGGGGCGAGGGCGAAACGCCGGCCGCTAATCAAATGCTGGAAAGCTTCACCCTTCTTAAGTTCGCCTCCTCTTCAAGCGGCGTTTTTTTAGATTTCAGCGTTTGAAGGAATAGTTTGAGATGTTTTTGGAAGTGACGATTTGACACTGTAGCTACCAGCTGCTTAGCTTAGCGCGCTATAATCCAAATTAAGACGTTTTGAGTATTTTTGCTAATCGAAGCCGAGCGAACACCGCTAATATCAAAGTGGTCTTTTTTTAACTCAAAGAAAGGCACTTACGAAAACTCGTCTTTCTTGGAAATGTCGAACTATTTCTTAACAAAAGCAGCGGCTTGAAGAGGTTTCTAAATAAATTCCGCTGCTAAAGCCAGTGTACGAAAAACGCGAAACGCTAATTAAATCAAATGCTGGAAAGCTTCACCCGTGTTAAGTTCGCCTCCTCTTCAAGCGGCGTCTTAAGATTTCGACATTTGAAGGAATAGTTTAAGATTTTTCGAAAGTGAGAATTTGACGCTGTAGCTACCGGCTGCTTAGCTTAGCGCGCTATAACCTAAATAAAGAGGTTAAGTAATTTCCCTTCCTGCCGCTTTATGTATTTTTGCTAATCTAAGCCGAGCGAACATCGCTAATATCAAAGTGGTGTTAAATCAGAGTGGGCGGGGTCTTTTTTTAACTCAAAGAAAGGCACTTCCGAAAACTCATCTTTCTTGGAAATGTCAAACTATTTCTTTACAAACGCATCAGCTTGAAGAGGTTTTTTAAAAATTTAGCTGCTAAAGCCAATTTACGAGAAACGCGAAAAGCTAATCAAATGCTGGAAAGCTTCTCCCGTCATAAGTTCGCCTCCTCTTCAAGCGGCGTTTTGAGATTTTTAAGTTTGAAGGAATAGTTTGAGATTTTTCGGAAGTGACGATTTGACGCTGTAGCTACCAGCTGCATAGCTCAGTGCGCTATAATCCAAATTAAGACGTTACATCCTGCCGCTTTGAATCTTTTTGCTAATCTAGGCCGAGCAAAACGGGTGCTAACAAAGTGGTGTTTAATCAGAGTGGGCGGGGTCTTTTTAATCTTTCCTGGAAATGTCGAACTATTTCTGAACAAACGCGGCGGCTTGAAGAGGTTTTTTAAAAATGTAGCTGCTAAAGCCAGTGTACGAGAAAGTTGTTTTCCCGCCCTGCTGCTTCTCTCTGCTCTAAGGGTCGGTTAATCAACCAAAGCTGCGGTTTAAGGGTATTTTTAGTTTCTGGACATTTCTTTTTTTTTTTTACCTCATACGGTTCAGGTTAGCGAAGGAGAGCTGCGCCACACACACACACACACACACACCAAACACACATCCACGACGCCGCTGAGGCACAAAGTACAGACGTTGACGCACAGAGGCAAACACAGGACTGATGAAATCTCTGCATGCGCAAACACTCTCGGTAGTCACACGGCCCGTTTTAGATCAGGGTAACTCCGGCGTGCCCTCGATCTGGGCTCTCTGTCAGCGGCGCTCGGTGACGTCCGTGATATTTCTCATGCACTCAGACACACATACATGCATGCTGCTGCGGTCGTCATTGGCTCGGGGTGACGTAAAGAGGTTTCCAGTAACCGGAGCTCCGGTCCCAGGTGCACGGCGCCGGTCATGCTTGCCCTGTCAGAGCCGCGCGCACACGTTACAGCATGCACGTTCATCCCAGCCTCATTCAGAGCTCTCCTACAGACTGATACGCCCATATTTAGCTTTTCTACTCGCGCTACTCTCCCTTGACTATAACCCACACGTGTTCTCATAGAAACACAAAGACTGACAGCAAACGTAGCCCACAGGATCACTAACTCTTTGTTCACTCTTCTAACGCCATCTTTGCTCCTGATTTCTTTTCCCCCTTTTTTCAAATCAACCCGCTTCTTAATTTTTTGGGACGGTTGAAAGCTTGTCACTCTCGCTCTTCTTTTGTGCGGGACTCGTCATTGTCAGCCCCCACCTCGCACAGCAGGGACGCTAATCTGGGAAGGGAGGGGACGGGGCTGAGGTGTCTTTAAATAACCGTGGGTTTCTGCAGCGCCGTCGGAAGTGGCGGAGGTGATTGACGGCTCACTTCATGCTCTGATCCGCGCTGTTGCTGTGAACTCTGCACACCTGGTACTTGATATTCGATGAAACACGCACACGGTCGCTGTCGGTGACCCTGGTGGTTTGATGCACATGCTAAGGTCAACACTGATGCTCCGAGATACCGCAAGATCCTGGTCGTCTTTGCACAATTTCGCAAAATTCACTTGAGAAAAAAAGAAGTTGTGTTGTTCTTGATTGGTGCGATAACTATTCTGCGATATCAAGTTAACGATTTCATTTTAAAGAGTTTCTTGATATTGCAGAATAGTCAATGACCAATGACACCAAATTTGGTCAAGTGATCCTCGAGAGACACTAACGCCGATATGTCTGTGTAAAGTCCGCCACAGTGCTAAAACAAGCGCAATAGTTATCCTGCAAGATCAAGAAAAAAAATTCATTTTAAAGAGTTTCGATCAATGACGCCAAATTGGGTCAAGTAATCCTCGAGAGACACTGACGCCCTGCAAATATATCTCGAAATGTCCATGCAAAGTCGGGGACAGTGCTGAAACAAACTTTAGCCCTCAGTTCGCCTTTACGCTAGCATCGACAGCGTAATTTTTGTGTCTCAGTGTGCGACTTTTTGCGTTATGGAGTTGCCGTAACTCGCCAAATTTACTCGTGATCCTTGAGAGACACTAATGTCCTGCAAATATTTCTCGATATATCTGTGCAAAGTCCGCCGCAGTGCTGAAACGAGCTTTAGCTGTCAGTTCGGCTTTAAGCTAGCATAAACTACATAATATTAGCGTCCCAGTGTACGACTTTTGCTTTGCATTCCGGATTTACCATAACACGCCAAATTGGTTATCCTCAGTGCTAAAACAAACTTTATCGCCTTTAAGCTAGCATAAACAGCGTAATATATGCTTCCCAGTGTGCGACGTTTGCTTTGCATTACGGAGTTGCTCTAACACGCCAGATTGGCTCAAGTGATCCTCGAGAGACACCAACACCCTGCAAAAATATCTTGATACGTCAGTGCAAAGTCCGCCACTGTGTGCTAAAACTATTTTTATCCGTCAATTCGCCTATAAGCTAGCGTAAACAATGTTATATTAGCACCCCAGTTACGACTTTTGCATTGCGTTATGATGTTGCCGTAACACGCTAAATCGGCTCAAGTGATCCTTGAGAGAAACTTAACGCCCTGCAAATATTTCTTGACAAAGTCGGCCGCAGCGCAAAACAAACTTTGGCCTTAAGTTCGCTTTTAAGCTAGCATGAACTGCATTGCATTACGGAGTTGCCGTAACATGAACTTCTCCAAACAAACTCCGAGTGACCAGGTGGGCAGAGTCGACTGAATACAGACGCTTCAGACCATTTCCTTTATTTTCCAAAACTTTCCAAACCCCAATCAAAGATGCTGCAAAAATCAAAATCTCACTTTCCCTCCTTCCTTCTCTTCTTTTCTGAACTCCAGTCACTACAGAGCCACAGAAAACAAAGTTCAACGTGTTTCATTTTGTCGTGTTTATGTTTTTTTCCGAGTCCGGAGGTTCATGCTAACAGCTACGGTTCAGAATGTAAGCGTAAAGAAGGTGAAGCCCCCCATTTTTTTACCCCATTATCGCCCTCTGGAGGGTTTGAGAGTATTTATCCGACGTTCCTAACAGTCCGATGGAAAAGCTTAAATCTTCAAAAATGCTGTTTAGAAATTTTAAGCCTGTGATTTGTCTTAAATGTACATTACGATCAATTTGAGAAATCTTTATTTTGCCCAAATCGAATGATGACGTAAGAATTAAATATATACGAGTATTTTGGCTGCGGCTGCCTGGGACAAAGAAGAAATTTGAGTTTATTTTTGGAAACTGTTTTTTTTCTTTTCTGTACTTACTTTGCTGCGGCGGCGGCGACGTGTTGCTTTTGAGTTTTTTAAACGCTACGGCGAGAATTGTTAGAGCTAGATTTCTGGGGGAAGAAGGTCCCTTAATTTATTTGAAGCATTATTCAAACGTGGGTAAATGTCGTTCACCTGGAGTTTTACCCCCTCCTGTATAATCCTTCGTCATGACTGAATTAATTTACACAGAATCTGTGTTTATTTTGGCAACAATTCAACCTCAAAACTGTCCTCGATGTTCCTCCTCCTCCTTCTGCTGAGAATCGGCTCTTACGAATTTTTCTTGTTGGGGGTGGAGAGATGAGAAAGAAATGAGACCTACGTAATATATATATCTATAAATATAAATATATAATCCTTGCAGAGAAGACTTAGGGTACTGCATCATTATGCAAACTTTTGTTCCTTTTTCCTCGAATCTTTTGGTTTCTTTTGTATTCTAGTTTACGGAGGGAAAAGAATCATCTTATTTTCGGTTGTTTTGTCGTATCGGGGCGACCTTGTGTGTCCGAAAAACGAAGCGACACGAGGCTAGTATTTTTTTTTTTTTAAAGAGTACATATTCATTTTGCAGTTATTTGCATAAAGAAATGAGTTACAACCTCTGCCTAATGTTTATTTTTTGTAACTATATTACAGTTTATTTGCTGCTGTGTAGTAACAGTTGGAAATCCCGTCGGCGGCAAACGCGGCGTCGGCGGTGAAGACGATATTCGGTGCCCTGCGATCACACGCGGGTCTTTTTTTTTTTGTTTTGTTTTGCTTAATTTTTCCAAAAGTTCGGATGATCTCAGCGGGAAACAGCGAATCCCACTCTTCCCTGCTACCTGTGTTCTTAGTTTCCGAGTTGAATGCTGTTGTTTATTAGCTTTACAGGAAAGAGTTAAAAAAAAAAATACTGTGGAGGTGTGTATCCTTCGTATGTGCATTATTTTTCAGCAACCTACGTCCTATGTACGAAAAAGACAAAAAAAGAGTGTAAAAAAAGAGAAAACTGTGGTGGGAATGGAAATCTTCCTTCTGTAAATAAGGAAAACTCAAGTTGTCGCTTTTTTTCATGTTATGATCGCGCCTCGGCAGGTGCCCCCCCTCTTTTTTTGTTTCATTTCCTTCTCTTTCTTTCTCTCTTTTTTCCTCGTGGAGGGGAAGAGGGGTAGGAGGGGTACTCAGAGGCAATTTGAGCATCTGCATAGTGTTTATATTTATCAAAACTTTTTTGCTTTCGATAGAGCTATTGCAATAAAAATGTGTTCATGTAACCGCTCTGGTCTCGGACTTCTCTTCTTTGGGGGAGTGTGATTTATCGCTGGAATCCTGAAGTCGTTTGACACGAACTCGACTTCTTATCAGCCGAGTCTGAGAGTTCGGACGTCACTGAAGACAAAACAGTCTCAGATGTGAAAGAAGTGCTAATCTGAGTTTGAGCAACTAAAGTTTGGCACACAAAGAGGTGACGACATTTTACAACAACAGCTGCTGGAGGAAGTAAAACTACTACCAAGAGTTTGAACAAAATAAAACCTGAATGGATCAAAAGAACAGTCTTAAAAAGTACAAGAGTGACAGACACGCAAAATAGGACACAAAACGTGTGACTATTTAGTAAAAAAAGAGTCACTTAAGTTAAAAACAAAGACAAACTACAAAAGGTATATAATGCCAAAAAGAGGCTGTGCGACCAAAACTAGACACCAAAAAAAGTCTTAATAAAAATAAATAAATTTGAAGCCTCAAAATGACTAAAATTTTCATAAAATCTCATAAAATGTCTAAAATTTGAATTTAAAAAGGTCCAAAAAAAATTCACTCTACTATAAATAACATGCAATAAGAATAAAGATTGATTTTAAGTAATATTAAATGTTTTGATTTCCTGTCATGTCTTCTTCTTTTTTGATTGATTGAAGTTTATTTTGAACACATAAAAAAATAAAAAAGTACAGAATACATCAAAAAATTTCAAAAAATTATGCATGTTCAAAAAGGAGTGGGAAGAAGTCGAGACTTATCTAGTCCCACCCTTGAAAAAAAAAAGTCTGGAAAGAGTCAATTAAGAAAAAATAATAATACAGAAACAAACTACAAAAAGGTATATAATACCAAAAAGAGGCTGTGCAAACACTAAGACACTAAGAAAAACAAAACTAAGACGTATAAAAAACAGCCACAAAGACACAAACCAGGGTCTTAAAAAGTCTAAAATTCTCTTAAAATTTCATAAATTGTCTTAAATTCGATTTTGAAAAGGTCTTGAAATGTATAAACTCCACTATCAATAATGTGCCATAGGAAAAAAATTGACTTGGTCATTTCAAATGTTTTGATTTCCCTTTATGTCTCTCGTACATTTTTGCTCGTATTGATGTTAAATGGGTCTTTAAAAACTCTAACCCTTCAATGCCTTTTGTGTCATATTTGATATATACTTTGATATACTTCTATCAAATCAATATGATCAACAAATGACAAAAAAAAACACCATAACACAGTCTGATAAATAAATAAAAATTTCCTTTTGTAGTTTATTAGTTTCCTAAAACATCTAATGTTTCAAACAAGTAAATTTATTTTTTAAATTTCAAGGACATTTTAAATATTTTTGGTTTTCAGTAATAAGTGAAATAAACATTTCAGCTCAAAAATTTTTTTTTTCAAATTTTCTGGCCATAATTTGTGGTGTCAGGCATTAAAGGGTTAAAAAGTTTTATATTTGTCTTGTTGAAACCTGAAGAGACTCTGCAAACCACAAAGAGATGTCCAAAAAATCAAAAATATTTAAAAGGAAAAGCACAAAAGGATTCCTAATAATCCCAACATATGAAAAAATTTCTGAAAAGGGACACGAACAACCACAAAAAAAATCTAAAAAATCCTACCACACACAAAAAAACAAAAACAAAAAGAGGACCACAACAGACCAGAAGGAATTTTACTGGGCTGTTGTAAAAACTCAGACTTTTATCAGTCCAGATTAACCAGCCGACAGAAAGATCCCTGATTGAATAATGAATGAAAACACGGTGGTGTTGTCACGTGACCGCTCGTTTTGCTGGACTGAATCGATCATTTATGTGGTTTACCGGGTCTTTGTGACCCTTCAGCCTCAGGCGTCTCCTGAGGAGGAGGGTGTTTGAGAAATCAGCGCTCGTTTCCTCATTCCTGAAGCTCCATTTTCCTCTTACAGATTAGACATTTTCCGACGATGACACACACACACACACACACACAGGGTGTTTATTCGGCTCAGGTGACCGGCCCAACATCTCAAAGTCCAACTGTCAAAACATTTCAAAGTTCAGGTTGGTCATGAGAGGCCGAGGTCAGCTGAGAGGAGAGTCTTGATCTGATAGAGGCAGCAGCAGCAGGAGGAGGAGGAGGAGGAGGCCGGTGTCCAACTTTGTTTTCTATGTTTTAAGTCAATAAATAAACACGTTTATATCCTCACACAGCTTATTAGATAAAAACAGGGTTAAAAAAAATCAATTTAACTTCACACAAATGATTAACTGGTTATTTAACGACACCCAGCAGGTCGGTCAGTGGCGGCATGGTTCAGGTTCTGGTCTAATTCTTCACCTTGATTTAACTCTTTCATACTTAATAAGGATTCAATTGAATTTAATTGACCTGACGCCAACAACTTTCACAGTGAACGCCCCCAAGTGGACTCAAGATACCGCACACTTTCTCAAACATAAAAGGATTTTTTTTAAAAAACGGATAAATTTCCGGAAATTAAAAATCCTAATGATATTTCACAGGTTTTCAGGTTTTCACTCGCCTAAAAGCTGATTCAATATTTTTCATTTCTACCAAACATGGATGATTGTTTCTTTTCTTTATAGTTCTAGATTAGAAACTCTTCTGTGCGTGTATTTTATTTTCCTTGTTTTTTTTTTGTTTGTTATTTATTTGTTTTTTTGTTCTTTTATTAAAAAAAAAAATTAACGTCCTAAATAATCGCATGAAAAAATCGCCCCCGATGTGAAAGGACCTTAACGGACACAAACCAGGGTTTTAAAAAGTCTTAAAACATTTAAAAAAAGATAAATTTTAGGCCTTAAAATGACTAAAATTCTCTTAAAATTTCATAAAATGTCTGAAATTTGATTTTAAAAAGGTCTTAAAATGTATTCACTCTAATATAAATAACGTGCCATAGGAATAAAGATTCATTTTAAGTCATTTCAAATGTTCTGATTTCCCTTCATGTCTTTTTTTGATTGATTGATTGATTAAAGTTTAATTTAAACAAAGAAAATTAAAAAAAAAGGAAAGAATACAACAAAAAATGACAAAAAGTTATTTATATTCAAAAAGGAGTGGGAAGAAGTCAAAATTTATCTAATCCCACCCCTTCTCCTACACTAATGGTTTAAATTTATTCATAATATTTAATAATAATATTATTAATAAAGTATAATATAATATTAATCAGGAGCTTTTGTACATTTTTTGCCAATATGGATGTTTAACGGTCTAACATTTTTTTTAATCATGGGTCTTCGAAAGTCGTGAAACGTCTAAAAAAATAATTAAAAATAAATTTAAGACGTTAGAAATAATTGCATGGAAAAAAACGCTCCCAGTGGGTAAGGACCTTAAGGGGTCCATTTCGGACACAGCCTTACTTCCCTAGTTTTCCCTCCTTCGTTAATCACTCATGAGTCTCACCTGTGTCTCGTTAGCCTCACCTGTTGCTCGTTTCCCAGTGTGGATATATATAGTCCCTGTCTTCCTTTGTTTCTTTGTTGGTTCATTGCGTTTGTTGGAAAAACACAAAGAAAATACCCTCAAATGAACCGAACATATCATGACACTAACTTTACTTACAGGTTTTTAGCGCTGGGAAGGGCAGCCCATATTTTCGCTTCTCCCTGACATCTGCTGTATCATTTATCTCACACTGTGGTTCTTACATTTACTCAGCAGCTGCAGCAGCAGAGCTGGAAACGTGCGTCACATCAAGTGAAACTGAATAATGAGAAAGGTTACAATATTTTGAAATCGCTCACAGATCTGACGTACTCAGATTCCTCGCCACTGAAAGAGTTTAAGAACGGCTATCAGAGGTCAAACTGAGGGCAGTGTGCTAAATCATGATCTGGACTTTATTGACTTTTACAGCAAAGAAATACACGTTCAGCAGAATGATCAGATGTGACTTTAAACTCTGATAAAAAAACAAACAAACCCTGGTTATGATTGACCAGCATTTAACCTTTGTTCCAGCCGGGTAATGAGTCCAAAAAAAGAGCTGCTGCCGTTTCTCCAAAGCGAGTCAGACCTAATCATATTAGACGATCTGATTGCCTATAACTTTATTGGTCAGTATCATGAACCCCGGAGCCAAACCTCAGCCCTTCGTTAGATTTCTAGACGGCGAGCAGACGAGTGAATTCCCAGAAAAAGTTTGACATTTAAGTTGTTATTTTGTACAAAGTGTAATTCGCTCTGGTTTGGCAGCGAGTTCAGACGCCAAAGAGAAACATAGAAGCGATCTGAAAATAACTGAAGGTCAGAAACAGTCCGAGGAGATGGAGATGGAGATAAAACAAGAGCGTACGCATTACTATCAGATCTGTATGTTATTTACTGTTGATAAAATGGAGGTTTCATCATGTTAGAACTGAACTGTTGACCTTTAACTTTTTGATTGTTTGACTGAAACGGTTCATCCTCAGAGTTGATTTTCCATTTTTAGACACTAACCACAGCGATGTTCAAAGTTTGGATGTTTTGAAGTGTACGGTGTGAACGCCAAATTAAAATGTTTCCAAACTTTCAAATGTCATCTTAACTTGGGTTACCGATGGGTCATCTTTAATGTGAACAACTCCAAAAATTTCAGGTTTTTATTTGGGTTTTTGATGCTAAGTGAGATCTGTTAGTGGTTTCCATTCAATCTAGTAAACGAAAAAATGAGCCAATAGTTTATTTGTTTTTCTATGTAAGCAGAAAATAAGAAATAAAAATTAAGCGTTTGTTTTCGTATTTTCAGCGAGCGACAGTTACCATGGCGAAAGATGCGACTGAGCGGTTCGAGCACCAAAATCTTACGTTTTTGTAACAGAGCTCTGGTTGTAATTTTTTCTACAGTCATATCTTTCTCCTTCAGCAACACCCTCCTGGCGGCTTTGAATAATACGTAGGATGCGTCAGTCTCCATGACAACAGGTCAGCCTTTCTCTACCGCTCTGGCCTAGAGGTTTTGGTCCATGTTGTTGGCTACTTTGTGCGCATGTGCGAACAGACCCGA